CCTTTGCAGGTCGAGGTGTGATGAGTCATTCTGTGGCGGACAGTCAAGTGCGGGCCGGCACCTTGGCAGCCGCGGAAAAGGCGAGTTAGCGCATTGCCGCTGATCATGGGTTCCCAAGTGACGCTAGCTGGCCACTACAAGTATGCGTTTTCTGGGCATTTTTAAATTTATATATTCACAGGAATTAACTGCGTAGACCTCACATCACTCAAAATATATTTTCTTTACCCAAATCGGTTCCAGTATCCGAATATCCCGAACGCTGATATTTGGTTATGCGCCCACTTGTTTTGTAGGTATGATAGCGGGTCTAAAGCCTTTTCGGTGATTGAGACAACTTCGCACTTGTCAACAGTAGTTGATGCCGTCACCCTTCTTCGTCAGACGCAAGTAAAGTTACTTCGGAATCAAAGGCAACAACACCCACGGCCACAACACGAGCAGTCATTACCGCCACAGCTTTCAAACGAAGCAGCCGTATCAGAAGGTGGTGCACTGTCCAGTTAGGATGGACGTGATTTTTCTTTCGATGGTTTTCCTTGACTTTCTGTAATCATGTCCGCCAATCGAATGTGCCCCTTTTGCACCGTTTTACTATTGGATTTTTTCGAATACGGCAATATTTTATACAATGGGAGGAATCCTGACCACTTCCAGTGAAAACCTGTTTCGCCCTTTTGATCCCACGTTTTCGTGGGTTATCAAACCATTCCCGTTGCTTTCGAATGCATCTTTTTCTTCCTATTTTTGCCTTTCCAACCTTAACAAATAAAGTTGAAGCAACAAGAGAATTCCAGCAATATGTAGCTACTTCATTCCGTTGTATAACAATCATGTCCTATTTTAAAGGAGTTTTGTTTAACCTCTTACGTTTAAGTATATATATCGGGACTAATAACCTCAACTGACGACGAATATACAGTTTGGATGCTGTCTCTATTTTTTGAGTTTATCTTGACTCTGACAGTTCGACCGTCGCTTTCGACGATGTCTACCACGAGCCTCAGCAGACTGAGGTAATGCCGTGACTTCCGCTAGATTATAGTGAAAGTAGACTCGCTGAGAATTTGCCTAACTCTCTCACCACTCCAACACCGGATCCGATGTCAAGACAAAAGTCTAGAAGACCGGAGATGGGGAGGGGGCGCAGGTGGCTGGCGCGGCCAACACTCAACACGCGTGCCAACAGCACACCTCGCTAGGTAGGCTACCGCATGGGAGCGCCGTGAAGGCCACATTGGCAAGGAACCATTGAGCTTGACTCTCAGCCCGCAGCAAGCCACTTCACACAACAAGATACACACTGGGCCGGCTGCGGTGTCCAAGGTATCCCATCAGTTATCCGTTGGTTCTGTACTTTAACTAGGTACCCGAACCCTCCTATATTGACGCCATTCCTAATTATCAAGTTAAAATAAAAGTAGATAAAGACAGTTATATGCGACCCTGCGAACAGATGATTCATTTAATGGTCTACGAATTCCGGCCGTCAACACTGTAAAATGTATAGTACCAGCTTACTAGTCACAATATTTGAAATGAATGGTTATTAAACCCAGTGCCACCAAAGTTATTTATCATTAGGCAGCCTTAAATGGGGATCGTGAGCACGCATTGGTTAATGCTGACTTTGGGTACCATTATCTTCGAATTTAGTCAGAACGATATCCGCGGACCCAAATTGGCTTGTGTACTCCCGGGAATGTTGAAAGCGACCTTTATA